AACACCTCGGGAACACCCAGGAAACAGTCCAATTGGCCTTTTTTCTCTGAACATCGCCTGCCAAACGAAAGCAACCGCCTTTCCCCTTACCTTGCTCAACCTGTCTCAGATTTCTCAGAACCTCAAATGACCACGGAAGAGCCACAGTCAGGATCTAGCTGCTGATGTCAGATGTTGGCCGAGATCCCTCAGGACCCGCTGTGTATTTCCTTGATCACATCAGCGTGGCTTTCCACTGAGGGTGATCTGCAGTCATCGTGCCGCAGGAGCAGGGTGCCTGTGGGAGAGGAGGCTGGAAGGGTTGGGCGAGGCCTGCTCCCTGCACACGCTTGACCCCGGGGGGTGGCGGAGAGTCAGTTGAAGCAGTGTGAGCAGGGAAATGGCTCCGACAAGCGTCTGCTCTTTGAAAAGGTTCGACGTGGGGGCCTTCAGTGGAGACAGGCAGTCCTCTGGGTACAGAGGGCAGAGTGAGCTCTGTTGGGTCTGAATGTGGTGCCTGAGAGAGGGAGGAGCAGAGAGAGATCACCCGGATCCCTGGAGAAGGCCAGGTTCCAGAGGGTGGAGGTCTAACCCAGTGATGGCTGTGGGAGGGAGAGAGAAAGGGGCCTGGGTGCTCAGTGGAGTGGAGCTGCAGAGGAGCAGGAATCGGGTGTAACGTCAGAACTCCAGCCCAGCTGCTGCCGTGGGCCAGCACTGTCAGTCCAAGGGGAGGAAAGAGACCCTGCTGGGTTTGGGAGAGTGGGATGGAGATGGGACATCCTAGAGGCCACTGAAATTCTGGTGGAGTTCAGGGCTGGGACTGTCAGGGCTGGGTAGGACCCGAGTGGTGGCTTTGGAGGGTCCTCTGTGTGGGGAGTTCTCAGAGGACACGAGGATCTCAGGGGGAAAGAGGGAGGATGGCAAAGACAGTGACGTTTAAGGTCCTGAGGGGGAGAGTCAGTGATGGGGACAGCACAGGGTGCGCCAAGAATGAGAAACGGGAGCGCTAGGTGGCGTAAGGCAGGGGGCAGAGAGCGCCAAGACCCGGCTTCCCGCTGTGTTGATGCAGGTTTACCGGTGAGGCTGGTGAATGGCGGTGACCGCTGCCAGGGCCGGGTGGAGGTCCTGTACCAAGGCTACTGGGGCACTGTTTGTGACGACAGCTGGGACACCCAGGATGCAGATGTCGTCTGTCGGCAGCTCGGCTGTGGCCATTCCGGGTCAGCCCCGGGCGGGGCTCACTTTGGTCAGGGCTCGGGGAACATTCTCCTGGGCGCCATGTACTGCTCAGGAGGGGAGCCCTACCTGTCAAGCTGCCACCATGATGGGTGGTACAACCACGAGTGTGGCCACAGGGAAGACGCGGGAGTCGTGTGCTCAGGTAGAGCAACCATCAGCACACGGCAGCAACCCCAAGGCCTAGCCCCTGTGCGCGTGTGCACGCGTGTGGGGGCGTGTGGGCGGGCGTGCATGCGTGTGTGTGCACGTGTGTGCGTACACTTGGCAGTTACCTGCTCTGCCATCAGTGGTTCCTTATTTGGTGGCAAAGGATCTGAACTACCATCCCTTTCACAAAGACCCTGAGGTCAGAAGGATCAAGGGACCCGCCTATTGTCCACAGCGGGGAAGTGATGGAGGCCAGCTGCAGCCTCAGAGCTTGCTGATGCCACCCCGCAGTGGACTGGCTCTGATGAGGAGCAGCATGACCGTCACCAGCCTAAGTGGCTGTTTCCCTTCCTCTCAAGGTGGGGAAGGATGGGCCAGCCGCTGGTCCTTACTACTTAAAGGTGAACTAAAATCACATCAAGGTTTGGCCCATGTGTTCTATTGACTGGGAATTAAATGCTAACACAAGGATGCTCACACCATGGGTGGAAAAGAGAGACCCCGACCCAGCCCAGCACATCCCGGCTGCATCTCCTGCTGGAACATGTCAAACACCACGGGGTCTTACTGCACAAGAAGGCTCAGGGATGCTGGTCTATGGTGTCCCCCAGAAGAGGAGTTTCTATTAGGAAGAGGAGTTTCTATTATTGGTACTTACCACGTGGTCTGGGTATGCAGTCCAGCTCTGCAGGGTGTCACTGTGACCCCACTGTGACCCCACCTGAGGGAATGTTGCCCAGAATACGACTCTGGGAACTGCCTTTCTCCCTGGGTGGGGTCACTTTTGAGGAATATCTGAGTGATGGCAAATAGTCATCATTTGAGGGTGTCATTTCAGGTTTGACGTCTGCCTTGTGACGAGCCTGGGCTGATACTGAACTGGTGGAGACTGGAAGCAGAGGAGGGAGAGTGTGGTGACAAGAGCAAAAAATGCTTGTAGGGGCATCCTGGGTGACCAAGTGACAGATGGGTGTTGGGTTTCACAAGGAAAAGGAGGGGGCCTCAGCTCACGAGCTTCCAGCCCCCGCTCCCAAAGCTGAGCCAGCAGAAGACCCCCTTCCTGAAGTGGGGGCCGGCACCTGATCAAGGTCCTCTCCTCTCTCCCTCTGCAGCTGCTTCCAGGCCCGCCACGACACTCTCGACACTAATGGCAGAAGGTAATGTTTGTCACGTGGGATCCCTGTGGGCTCAGGCCCCCGTGAACCTCGGGGTTCATCTCTGAGGGTACCTGGAATGGGGTGATCAGGCCTCCTTCTGAAAAGCCCTCAGGCCCGAGTGGACGTCTCTCTCATGTCCCTGAGGCTGAGAGGCATCTCTGAGGATCTCTAAGGTGGAGCCCTGTGTCCTGTCCTTAGGGGTCTCATTGCTGTGCTCAGTGCCCTGTGGTTCTCACCCATCCACGCTGACCTCTGGCCAGCCTCAGGTGCTGGATCTTGGGTTACAGAGCCCAAAGAGCCAGCTACAAACCTGCTCAGACCGCATCCTCACCCACGCCCCGTCTCTAAGCCCCTATCAAGCCACCCTGGAAATCAGGATCCTTCAGACTGTGGGCATCAGAGGCCCTTTTGATCCCCCGGGGGCACCTCAGTGAGAGACCGAGGAGAACCTGTTCCCTTGTCTGCCATGGTTTCCTCTGAGGACCTTGTTATGTAATCGAAACGGCAGCTGGGCCTGAAAAGTCCTTGGGTGCAAATGGACCACCTAGGGAATGCAGGGGTTGGGCGGATCTGCCTGCGACACAGGACAGGGCTTACTCAGAGCTGCCCCTCCATGTGGAGGGTGGTCAACTTTCTTCTAGATCCAGACATCTCATGTAGAAGCCCAGTAGGTCACTTAGACCTGAGAGCTGTGGTGCAGCAGGTTAGGATGCCTCTCCAGTTGTCTCCTCTCCAAGCCCTGGCACCAGTCAGCTCTTGTCTTTGGAGCAATTTGAACACATAGATTTAATGTCAATAACTTACTTTAAGGGGGAAACATTAGGAGCATTTTCATGAAAGCAAAAAACAAGGCAAGCATGCCCTCCAACCCACTGCTATTCAATATTGTTTTGGAGATACTAGCCAATGCAATCAGACAAGAGAAATCAGAGGGACAAGAGTAGGAAAAGTTGTTTGTGGGTCCATCCCCAGAAGTTCTGTACAGGTCATATGTAGGTGTAAACAGAGATATTTTCTCCCTAAATAGCCTTTTAGACCCAAGGCTAGATAGGTTTCTTAAATTTCTCATGTAGCAAGACAAAATCCAGGTCAGGAATGACATCTCAATAGATTTCAGTTTACTTCCAGGTTTTTTTTTTAAATATTTTTTTTTAGTTGTTGATAGTTCTTTATTTTATTTATTCATATGTGGTGCTGAGAATCGAACCCCGTGTATCACACATGCCAGGCAAGTGTGCTACCGCTGAGCCCCAGCCCCAGCCCCACTACTTCCAGGTCTTGATTCTTCTCAGAGACTTATCTTTCCTGTTATTTTTTTTTGTCTTATTTGCTTTTCAACTTTTACAATTATAACACACAGAGCCCCAAATAGCAAACTCTGAGACCTCCTTTGCAATAGGTAATGAATAATTTTATATGAATCCCTCTCTGTAGGTCACAGTGCCAAGTATAACCATGGGTTTGGCTTTTCCTCAGGAAACCTTTTAGGGATAGAGTGATAGGTGTGTTGCAAATGCTTAGTGCAAGGACTGATGCCTTCTCAACAGAAAGCAGTCTCCTTTATCGCCCATTTCCTTGTAGATGGGAAGGAATCAGTCTGAATATGGGGGCCTTCAAGAGCCTGTGTACTTTGGGACAGAGATCAGTGGAATCATTTCTCTAGTCTAGCGTGCTAGCTCCTCCATATCCATGGCTCTGTACTGACCTCAACCATTCTGCCTATAGAATCAAGAGGAGCTTGTGTAAAATACACTCCAAGTCATCCCTGGAGCCCCAGAAAGATGTCAGAGCTTCTCGCAGGACATCCTAACATCAGAAGGCTTCTGTTTAGCAGGGGACTTATGTGTCCCCTGTAGAGGGAATCAGTCTCTGCCCAAGCCTTTGCTAGGGAAGGGTCATGTTGGATGATCTCTAGATTCTCTCCAGCAAGCAAAGTGGGAAGGACACTTCCTACCATCTGGAGGCCAAGCATAATTCCTTCACATGTTCACTTCTTTTCTGCCTCCTGCACTGATCTCCACTGATTTCTTGAATAGTCTTCGCAGAAGAATAGAAGCGCGGTTGCTCTCCTCGACTTTCTGTAAGCAGTTTCCTGGGGGAATGGATGAGGGAGGCAGGAATGGTGGATATTTGAGCCCTGCTCCCTACTGAAGGTGCTTCCCTTTTAGAAGATTCCTACAGCAATGGCTGAGCCTCTAGGTCACCATGATATTGTGCTTTGTCAGTGGCACCTGTAAGGAGAATCACAAGTTTTAAACCAATAGGCCTCTGCCTGGCCCCTCTTCTGTGATTCCATGACTAAGAGAGAGTGGCTCAGGCCAGGGCCAAAGCTATGCTGTAGGGTATTTGCTTTAAACCCTGCGTCCTGGAGACCAGCAGAGACAAAGGTCGGATTTCTGAAGTGTGACATCAATGCAGATAGCCACTGAGCACGGGCATCCACCCGACCCATGATGATGGGGGAGAGGGAGGAGTTCTTATTCACAGGTGAAAAACTTCATGCTTGAACATAAGAAAGAACTTCCAGTGAACTTCCAGTGTCTTCTACATGAGCAGTCATGCAGGTCTCTGTCAGGACTCAGGGACTTCTGTCCCTGGAGTCACCTCACTTGGTCCCTCTGTCCTGCCTCACATTGGGGCATCCTGTTCCACCCTCAACTTGTCCTCCCTCTTTCTTGGGGGAATCTTTGCTCTTAGAGAGACTTTCTGACATGTTAGTGTCCTCACGTGATGGTTTTTGTGCTTTTCTCATCTATTGGAAGTCACTTTAGTTCTTTGCTGAGAATCAGGTTTGGTCTTGCAGTTTAGCTCCTGGTCTGGGTTGTTAATAAACTGTGAAATCAAGACCTTACACACCTTGAAGAAGTGTAAGTAAGAGTCAAGGAGAAAAGGCCCGTATCCCCTCCTCCTCCCCCTGGGGTTCCTTTACCCTCTGAAGGGGACAGGGTGAGGGTGAGAAGGATGCAGCACAGAGGGTGAGGGAGGCACCAGCTCACTGAGCCACATCTGCATCCAAATGCTCCATTGGGAAGGGAGGTCTTCACCTGGGGCCACCCCTGTGTGTGTGTGTGGGGTCTATCTGGAGGCTCCTGGGCTATGACTGCAGATGGGCACATGTGCATGACTGACCTGTGTTCTGGGGCCCTGCTTTACTGAGTCAGTGGCTAAAAGCCACAAGATGGAGGAAGAGGGGGTTCAGCTCAACCACCACATCTAGACAGGGTCTCCCCTTGAGGCTGAAGGGGACAGGATCTGCCTGGACACCTCCAAGGAGCATCCTTTGGGCAATCAGCTCCCCCTTTGAGGGAAGGGACCAGCAGGAATGAATGCCTGACCTGCTCCTCATCTTCCACCTGAGTCCCAGTTTTGCCGCCTTCTGTGTAATACATTGGATCCAACCTTCTCTCTCCCACAGATGCCTTGTCTTCCACAGACGTTTCCACCCCAGGTGAGTCCATCGGCCTCCTCACTTCTAGGTGACCCTCCCTCCTTGCTCCTGTTCACAGCTCCAGCTGGTGTCTCTGAGAGGGTCTGTGGAGTGTTCTAGCAGCAGAGCCCACAGAGTGTTCATCCTCCTTACTAGCCTGGAGGGACAGGACAGTGCCAGCTCTGACCTGAGTGTTGAGCAGCAGTCAGGCGCTTCCTGGGCCACTGCTCCTGGAACACCTCCTCGGCCAAGACTCGTGTGGGAGGGGAGCACAGGGATTTTTCATGTCATATACCTCAGGCATGTTCTGAGAAATTCTTTTAACCAGAGACCCATCCTTCAGAAAAGCTTGTAGCTCCCCCCTGGGACTGTGTACCTCATTGCCATGGTGGAGGTGGTTCAGGTCACGGCCTTGCTCACTGAGGCTCTCTAGAAAGGCCTTGTCCTCCCCCAGGCACAGAGCTTCTCTGACCACTTGTGCCTGATTCCAGCACCAGGTCCCTACCCAACCTCCACTCCACACCCCCTGCCTTCTAAGGTGGCTGTGTTTTCCTTCCCAGGTTGGTGGCCTAGAACAACTCCCATCTATGGTAAGCATTTTTGGATTAAGTTCAACCTTGGCTCCACACCCTTTTCCCTCTAATCTGACTTTGTTTTCCATTTCCATTTCAGATTGGTGGCATCCAACAACTATTCCCCCTGGTAAGCACATTTGACTAAGTCAATGCCTTGAACTCCAAGTGACAGCTCAGATTTGGGGGATTCTTGGACTTTGCATGAAGTCTCTGGCTGCTTACCACCTCTCCTATTGTGAAGGGCTCCCTTCACCCACCTGTTGTGCATTGTGTCCTCCTTCAGAGTTATAGTTTCCTTGGGGGAGATGGGGATAATGTGGGTACCAGACTCATTTTGGAATTTGTAGTATGAAGCTTTGGGGATTTTTTTAATAGTAAGTTACTTTTGTATGTAAATTTATTAAACAAACAAAACAAACCACAAAAACCCAAAAACCAGAGCAGCAGCAGAGAAAGCCCCCCCCCCCCAAGGAGAGCTCTGCTTTCCTCTAAGCTCTCTGCTGAGAGCCTGTTGTCATCCCCCTTCCTGTTGACACCTTTGCTCGCCCAGGTGTCCTCCCGTGTCTGTGCGCTGCTCCCAGCTGTCCTTTGTCCCTGGGTGAGAGCCTGAGCTGTCAGTGGAGTGTCCATGGAGGAGTGCAGAGGCCTCTCTGTATCCTCCAAACCTGTTCACCTGTCTCCCTTAGGGACCTAGGAGCCCAGCTCCTCCTGCCTGTGGCTCTGTGATAAGACCGGGTCCTGGACCCAGCAAGCCAGGGTCGGGACAAGCACCCACACTTCCATTGCTCCTCCACCCTGACAGCTTGGCTTCCCCGGTCTTCTGAGAGGGTGACAAATAGTGGGCTCTCCTGTTCTCACACCAAACCCACATCAGCAAATTCACACCCTCCACGGGGACATTCCTGAGCTGTTTTTAAGCTCCCAAAGGTTCCCTTGGTCTAAGGGCCCAGGGCTCTGCACAGGTCCACGGGCCTGGAGATGACCACTGTTTGCCGTTAATGAAGCAGAGGGCCCATGTGGGCTCTGAGAACCAGGAAGCTTCTCTCCCTCAGGGGAGAGACTGGGAGACAATTGATTATGGCCTGAAGAACTCGCCCAAGGCCTGCTCCTCTTTTTTAAATTTCCTAATACAGATTTTAGTTCTCTATAAACTAAAAATTATCTCAGGGCCCAGGAATATGTATATATTCACATATTGCATTTATGTGTGTATGTATAGGTATACCCACATACACAGAGGTGTATATATGGAGCTCACAATGACATTATTTCCCTGTTGTTACCTTATTTTGATAACATGTAAACATAATGTAAAATTTGTGATTTTCCTTTTATTTGCCTCCATATTTGGGATTGATTCCAGGGATTTGCACATGATAGGCAATTCCTTTACCTTTAAAAAATATCACCAGCCCAAATTTACCATTTTAGATTGTATCCATTTAAAATTTTTTCATTTACCTTTTTTAAATTGTGCCATTCCGTGATATTGAGTACACCCGCGGGATTGTGCAACCATTACCACTGTCTAGTTCCAGAACTTTTCATCCTCCCCAGCTAAAACCCCACCGACCTGCCCAGCCCTTGCTCTTTCCCACTTCTGGTAGCACAGCTCTGCTCTGGGTGTCTGGATTTGCCTCCCTGGTTATTTCCCGTGAATGGAAGCCCTGGCTTTCTTGGCTGCCTTATTCCATTCAGCAGGTTTTCACTTGCGCTTGGCATGTAGGAGCGTGTCTTTTCTTTTCACTGCCAGAAGCCATTCCATGGTACCAATATGCCACCATTGTTGATCCCACGTTCTGTTTACCCATTCACCTGCGGGTAGACACAGGTCGTCTCTGCCTGTTGGCTGTGTAAATAGTGCTGCCAGAGCAGGCACATACAATTTTGGCTGGGTTGCCTGTTCCTGGTTCCTCTGGGTATAGACCTAGAAGTGGATTGTCTGGGTCCTATGCCAATTCAATGTGTCACTTGTCAGGACATTGAACCATTTTCTACAGCAGCTGGAGTGTTGCTGTTCCCACTGGCAGTGTCTGAGGGCTTGGTCTTTCTATATGTTCCCAGCAGTGGTCATGGTGCATCTTGTTCATCATGGTGTCCTGGATGGAGTGAGGTGGTATCTCATTAGGATTATTCCCCCCAGTACTGGGGTTTAAACCCAGGGCCTGGTTCATGCCAGGCAGACACTTTACCACTGAGCCACATCCCCAGCCCTCTCTTAGGGATTTTGACAGCACTTCCCTAACGACAAATGCTCCCTGCATCTTTTCAGGGTCCTCCTTGCCATCTGCACTGACATCCTCAAATCTCTCCTGCTGCTCCCTGTGACATGCGTCCCCTCTTTCCCTCCCTGCCTGGTCTGCTCCCCACTCATCTGGGTCGGGAGCCAAGCCCCTGGCCCGACCTTCCCTGGGCTTTCCACCATCTCGGCCTCGGTCCATGCCTTTGGTCCTCTCCTCCACACGGAGGCAAGCCCGGTTCCAGCCCCCACTGTAAGCCCAGGGCTGGTGCAGTGCAAATCAGCCGGCCTGCATCAACAGCCGTGTGGAAGGTGCTAGAAAACTGGTCATGATCCTCTCTGTTTGTCAACAGCTGCTGCTTCCACCCTCAGCTACCCAAACAATAAGTTCTGGGCTCGCTGACGAGTCTGTGGCAGAGGGTCCCACAACCTCCTTCCCTCCCTCCCGTGGGGGGGAATGACAGGGAGCGGGCTCCCTGGACGCAGCCTCCCGGGAGGGCTTCTCCCTGCCCTCAGTGGGTGGAGCAAGTCCGGCTCCTCTTGTCGGGTTTCTGCCTTAGGAACTGAGTCGACAGTTCCGCCCAGGTGGCTGAGCCAGGTGCTGCGGGCTCATCACGTTTCCTTCTTGTTCTGACAGTGAATTTCTGCGGAGGCTTCCTGGCTCAATCCTCAGGAAACTTTTCTAGCCCCTTCTACCCAGGGAACTATCCAAACAATGCCAGGTGTGTGTGGGACATTGAGGTCCCGAACAACTATCTGGCTTCTGTCATCTTCACAGATGTCCGGTGAGTGCGTGGGCGCCAGCAGAATGAGTTGGGGACCCCACAGACATTTAGAGAGAGAAGACATGGGCGATTCAGGGGCGAGGCTTGTCCAGGGACAGGTTTTATTTCTAGATCTCTTTGACCTAGAACAGCAGCAGCCCATGGGGAGCGGGGCCTGGAGCTAAGATCCCTGCAGTGACAAGGGCTCTGGTTTCAAGTCCCAGGTCTGTCACTAATTTGCTGTGTGACCATGGGAAATCAGTCAACCTTCCCAAGGGTCAACCCAAGGAGGGGAATAATATATTTTCCTTTCCCTGGTGATTCCGGGACAGGTGCAAGAGTATGTGGAAACACTTGGAAAATGTCACCCAGTGGGAGTAATGGGGAACAATGCAAATCCCCCCCTTAACAACCGCACCCATTTGGGACCCTTCCCTGGCCTCTCCCCCTCTTCCCATGATCAGGTGGAGGGGGGGAGCCCGCTAGGACACCAGGTGGCCTCTCCCTCATCCAATTGCAAGTGGGAATCATTGTCCTAAGCAGAAGGGGACGTCACCAAAAGCATGTTAATCTATGATCTATTCAGAGAGGGGGTGGCCAAGCTGACCAGGAGGAGGGACCCTTAATGTGCAGAGTCCTGGACACGGGAAACCATGACTTCTCCTCCAGCAGCCATTGCAGAACAAAATAGTTTTCCCTCTTGAGTTCTGCTTACAGGGAAGTTGGAAGTCTCTGCTTTAGAAATCCATTTGGGGTTTTGCAAAAGGTATATTATCTGGATCTCACTACAAGACAAGGGCTGCATCTCAACCTGACTGGTTCTCTAGCCATCATCTCAATAGCAGCAACGGCCACCATTCAGTGACATCTTAGAAAGCACTTGTCCTCAGGCTGTATCACTGGAGCCTCAAAACAGCCCCCTTCCATGTGCAGGGACAGGTTTGCCCAATATTTATTTATTCAATTACTTGTTTCCATCACTATGAACTCACGGATATTTGTTTTTATTTATTTATTTACATTTTAAAAAATTGGTTCATGTTAGTTTTACACGACCCTAGAATGTATTTTGACATATTATGCATACATGGAGTATAACTCCCCATTCTGGTGGTTGAACACGACGTGGGGTTACACTGGTCGTGCATTCATACACGAATATGTCCAATCCTTCTACTATCTTTCACATTTCAATCCCGGCTCCCTTCCCTTCATTCCTCTTTAATCCAATGAACTTCTGTTCTTCCCTTCCCCTATTGTGTGTTAGCACCTGCATATCAGAGAACATTTCGGCCTTTGGTTTTTGTGATTGGCTTATTTCACTTAGCATAATAGTCTTTAGTTCTATCCATTCACCAGCAAATGCCTTAATTTCATTCTCCTTTATGGCTGAGTAATATTCCATTATGTATATATACCACATTTTATTTATCCATTCATCTGTTGAAGGGCACCTAGGCTGGTTTCATAGCTTAGCTATTGTGAATTAAGCTGCTGTAAACATTGATGTAGCTGTAAACATTGATGTAGCAGCAGCCCATTGATGTAGCTGCATCACTATATATAGTATGCTGATTTTAAGTCCTTTGAGTATAGGAATGGGATAACTGTTAAATGGTGGTTCCCTTCCAAGTTTTCTGAGGAATCTCCATACTGCTTTTCAGAGTGGTTGCACCAATTTGCAGCCCCACCAGCCATGTATGAGTGTGCCTTTCCCCCAACATCCTTGCCAACATTCACTGTTACTTGTATTGGACGTTTGTTTTATTCTGGGGAAGCTGGGAATTTTTGATGGAAGAAAGATGGTCTAAATTAGGATGTGAATCCTTCCTTTTATGATTTAGAGGGTTGCAGAGAGGCTGCAGATTTCATATGTGCCACCTCAAAAAGCTGAACACAGATCCAAGCAGAGTGGTCATGGGGGGACAGACCCCCTCGATTCAAGAAAATCAGTGATGAGCTTTGTCAGAGTCCCTAGCGCACACCTCCCCTCCCGCCAGGCATGAACCCCTGTGTCCAGTTGCAGACGAGGTGGGGCTAACGTTGTGTGCTCTGTTCCCGTAGACTTCAAGGAGGCTGCAACAACGACTACATTGAGGTTTTCGACGGCCCCTCCAGCAGCTCCCCGCTCATCGCCAAAGTGTGTGATGGGGCCACGGGCTCCTTGGGCTCCTTCACGTCCTCCTCCAACTTCTTGTCAGTCCGCTTCACCAGTGATGGCAGCGTCACGCGGGCGGGGTTCCAGGCCACATTCTACTCCATCCCTTCCAACCACAGCACCAGTAAGTGCCCCGGGGAGTGCAGGGTTAGGAGGGGGGAGGTCCCTGGGAGCCTTCTGTGGCTCACCTCCCCTCTGGTTGTGAAATAAGAAATTAGAGCAGCCCCAGCAGCCCCCCCAGGCTCGATTTCCTGCGGGGAGAGGCCACGTGCAGGAGGTTTTGGGATTCTGGCTGCCTGAAATGAGGTCAGCAGTCAGCTCTGACTGACGAGAGGTGGACGGGCTTAGGCAGTCAGCAGGGACTAAGTAGAAGACACAAGAGGGTGCTCTCAGCAAATGAGAAGTCAGTGCCCAAGGCAGAGTGACCACCCCGCTGGAAGTTTTGTGACCATCCCGAGTATGAGACACTGGTCACGTCCTGAGACCTAACACATTTGGCTTCTATCTGAAGATGGATGCAGCTGCTCATAGGCACTTCCAGGAAAGGCCATAGGGTGCTGATTTGGGATGTTATATGAACTGCTGTAAACCTTGGCCAAGGACGGGGCAAGGTGACGTCCAAGGCTTTTTATGTAGTTAGGATTGAAAGCATTGGCTTTCTTCATATCTAAATGACTTTACTCCATGACTTCTCTGCAATTTGAATGTAGTTGCTTTACTTTGTGGGTAATTGGTAACTTGGCAGTTCATTTCGGTTATTTAAAATCCTGCCTGTAACATTCTGTTAGAGAAACCCCAAGTGTCCTCATGGAGCTTTACTGAGCTTGGGGCTGGGTGGAGCCCGAGGGCCCTTGGAGGTGGCAGTGAAGCATATTCTGTGCAGGTATCCTACATACTGACCACCTGGATCACCATCTTTATCTGTCCACCTGTATCTGGGAAGAGCACCCAGTAGGACTGGTGGGGTTTGGGGGAGCTGACCAAGTGCATGATCTTCCCTTGTCCCTCAGGTCTCTTCTGTCTGCCGAATCACATGCAAGCCAGCGTGAACAGGGACTACCTCCAGTCCCTGGGCTATTCTGCCAGGGACCTTATCATTTATGGATGGAATAGGAACAACAGGTGTCAGCCCCAGATAACTTGGAGCCACGTGATATTCACAATTCCCTACACAGGCTGTGGAACCCGCAAGCAGGTAAGCCCGAGGCTGCTTCTGTTTCCTGTTTAGCTGCTTCCTTACAGCCATCAGTGCTAAGCGTCTTGAACACTGGGAATCCAGAATTGCTATCATAGTATAACCAGAACATAATCAGAATAAAGGAAGATAGACATCTCTGGTACATGAAATAGCGGCAACTACCTCCAAGTAGGAGGAGGAAGCTCCGCAGATTGTTCCTCCAGCTGTGTCCAACGGGGGGGGGGCACCTGGCAGGCTGTCACTCACATTAGTGATCCTCAGAGCAGCTCCGAGGGGCAGCTCTGGGTTTTGTAGGGCCTGAAGCCTATACGGCGTAGGGTTGAGGTGAGCAAGAGCAGCAGGGTGCTCATTGAGCAAAGAATGCAAATATATTTTACTTTCCTAAGTTTTACGAAAACTTAGGAAACACATTGCAAACCCATTGCTAAGCCTTGGCAGAGGCCTGTGGACTCATTGGCTTCAAAATGAATCGGTCTCTGCAGCTTTGGTTGTTGAGCTGTCACCATCTAGGGTGACCCGCCATCCTGGATTGTCCAAGACTTTACAGATTTTAGCATAAGATGTTCCTTGTTTCAGGAAACCCCTCAATCCTGGGCAAACTGGGATGGTTGTCCTCCTATGGGTTATAGAGTCTGTGTTGTCTCTTTCCCCAAATTCTCATTAAGTAGTTTCCTATTGTCATCCACTTTAAAAATGCTGAACACAATTCATATGGCTGATTGTGACAACCTTTGGTACTGAATTATAAAGTAAAAAAAAAAAATCCTTTTAGAAAATGGAAAGAGAAAATATAATGTGCTTCTTGAGCAGATAGATCCATAGAGCTCTTTCCTATGGCTCTTCCCCAGGTCTGGGCCCAGAGTGGGCCCAGAGTGAAGCCTCTCTGGCACCCGCTACTGGCTTAGATGACTTGCCCCAAGCTTTTGGTCTGGGGAAAAGGAAAGGAACTGATCAGAGAGGAGAGGAAGGGCCGAGAGGTGCCGAGAACCACAATAAGTATCTTCTTAAGCTTTTCTCTTTTCCCACGTTTCACCTGGAAGAGACATATTCAGAGTTCTGCAACTGCAGGCAGGATGTGGCAGATTCTCCAACACATTCCATTCTGAAGGACAATTACATTTGAATACTTGAGCTGCACAGACGCTGGCTTCAGAAGGGACTTTGTTCAGTGTCCCAGCCAGCCAGGAATGGAGTTCTGGCCCTCGATAGGCTCATGACTAACACAGAAAACCTCTCTCTCTCTCTGCTTTAGACCTTCTGCTTAGACCATTATTATGTTATTCCCCGGCCCTTTCTTGCAAAAGCACTTGTGGCATGCTGGGAAGCGTAGCATAGGGACCCGGAGAGATTTACTTCAGACCTGTTCCTCAGGCGGGGAGGAAGTCCTGCAGACTGCAGCCTGGTGATGGCACGCTTGTGCTCACCTTGGTGGGGCCAGATGATCTCGACCATGGAGCTTCTTGGGGACCTTGTCCACCTGTGTCCTCTTGGCCATTCAGCTGCCCCATGCTCCACTCATTACAATACTTCTGCTGGGTCTCTGGCTCCTGTCCCTTCCATTCACTCCATAGTCCCTAGAGATGCTGCGGAAGCTATTGGTGATACACTGCCAAGCCCTGGGGGGATATATATATATATATATATATACATGCCTCATCTTTTCCTAGAAATTCTCACAGGCCCCCAGGTGAAAGGCCACTCTCTGTAGATGGCGGGCACATGAAATGGCAGGAGGCACCAACATTCTTATGAACATGCTGCTTAGCTGCTTAGTGAAAGGCATGGTAGCAAACGGTCCTGGGGTACAGGTGGGCGGGACAGGAAGGACTCCAGGGTTTCCAGGACCCACTCGGTTGTCCCTATGAGCCTCAAAGGAGTCCCAACCTCAGAGGTCGAGAGCTGCAGTTCTGGATCTCTGTGGCTTCCAGCTCCCACGGAATTCATCACCACGTGGTGGTAGTCACCAACCAACCAAAGCAGAAAGCAGTTAACACCGAGCTCACCGAAGTGTGCCCCTCCCCTCAACAAGTATGTGACTATCTTCTCTGAGACCCCAGCAACAGTGAGCATGAAGCAGAACTTTCTGTTCTGAGCCCTAAGCCGTGGAATCCAGGCCGACTTGGCTAGTTGCATGGCAGGTCAAGGTACCATCCATACACGCCCATTGTGCCATGAGGAGGAGCTCCAAGAGGTGCCAACCACTGACCCACACTGAGGTCCCCATCGTGTGGCAGGGGAAGCAGGGATTGTGCAGGGAGGGGGTCTTGCTCGTTGAGCCGGGTATCCAGCCCTGGGGAAAGTCACCGTGGCACTATGCATGTGCCATCTCTGTGGCCGTGGAAGGGTTTGACATCTCATTGTCACTGCCTTCTCATTCTAACCCTGAAAATCAGCAATGAGATTCCCTCGGCAGGTGACACATGCCTGACTCTGCTCTCCGACATGCCTCTCCTAGGTAGACAATGACACCATCAACTATTCCAATGTCCTCAAAGCAGCTATGTCAAATACCATCATCATAAGGAAGAAGAACCTCCTCATTCATGTCAGCTGCAAGATGCTGCAGAACACCTGGGTCCACACCATGTACCTCACCAACGACACCACCCAGGTCAAGGAAGTGCAGTACGGCAACTTCCAAGTGAACATTTCCTTCTACACATCCTCCTCTTTCTCCTACCCTGTGACCACCAGCCCGTACTATGTGGATCTGGACCAGAGTCTATACCTTCAGGCTGAGATCCTCCATACGGACGCCTCGCTGGCCTTGTTTGTGGACACCTGTGTGGCTTCTCCAAACCCCAACGACTTCTCATCTCTGACTTACGATCTCATCCGAAGTGGGTAAGGGCTGCCTTTCTGGGCAAGATTTAACCCTTTGCCTGAAAAGTCAAACAATGAGTAGCCCTGAAGCTTTGAGGACTCCAGATTTTGGTTAACCAGAGTTCTTAGGAGTTCAAGTACAGACAGATCCCATGCTGTATGCAGTCACATCATGTGGCTTTTACCCTTGAGGTGCTTTTGTGCTGTGTCCTGGGCCGCATCCTGACCTGCCCCATTTCCTGCTTACATGTTAGAATGGAAGAACCCACCAGTGGTCAGGTTGGCTGTCCACTGGGATTAAGCCCCAGGAGACCCAACTCTAGCCTTAGGGTTAGAAAGCCCTACAAGCAGTGGGGAAATCATTGGATGTGGAGCAGACCAAGGTGGAAGTATGTGCCTCTGGGCCAGTTTCCTCATCTGTCAACGGGGGACGGTGACGTTCACATCAGAAGGCTACTGCGAGGACTACATGGAAAAGAGTGGATGGGCTCCTAGCATAGAGTGGGCCCAGCAGGTGGTCCACAGAATTGTTACACCAGAGGCAGCAGGAAGTCCTCATGACCTCCCTTAGCCCGGGAAGTTCTGCGGTCCAGCTCAGGGAGATCTGCTCTCCCCTGCTCCAGCTTCCCTGCACGAGGCGTGCTGGAGCTGGGGGTTGACTCCTCTGCACTCCTGCAAGGCTCCCAACCCATCCCCATTCGGTAGTCTCCGCTGGCGGGTGGCATGGCACCTCTTGGCTTACACCTTGTAGCCATTGCTTCCGAGAAGTTACGCTAACAGGGTAAGGGGTGCTGCTAGGCATCTCACTTCCCTGAGGTCCTAAGACACAGCTCTTTCCGGGCACAATTTGAACCCATATGTCAGTTCAGTGAACAGAAATTGAAGCTTGTCTTTTCATAGCCACCCCCTCAGTAGCAAAGATGGGGAGAAGGCTTACCCAGAACCCCATTCCTCAAATAGTAACAAAGTGGCATTTCAAGTGGTGTAAAATGGTCAAAATCAATGCAATCGATGAGTGATTTAGTTCCCCCTGGCCAAAGGATTCTTGTCTATGGTGACATTCTGCCACATACGTGATTGATGGAGTATGCTTGGAGAATGGAGGGCTGCACTTGGGGGAGAGTGTCCCCAATGGGCCTGGAGCACAGGAGTCACCTGGCCCTCAACCACATCATCCACCTGTAGGCCCATGAGGATGAACTGGGCTCAGACTTTTCCTGTCCACACACATTCTCCTTATTTGGTCACACTTGGTATCTTGCATTTTTATTTTATTTTAAATTTTGTTCTTGTATTTTAAACAATTTCCCCAGGTGATTCTGAAGAGCAGCCTGGACTCTGCAGCTCTGGCCCCCACAGAGCCCCAGACTGGCAGGGTTTTATGGGAAATGCAGTTATTGGCCTGGCAGCTCCCAGGTTACCCTGACCTTCCACAAATGTCCCACCTCTGAATGGACCCCTGGGTATTTTCTCTCACCCTGGTGGCTAAGGAGGCTGCTGTGGAAACAGAAATCTGGGTATCTGAGACCAGCTGAGTTGAAAACAGAGGTAGGATGAAAGCTCTGGAAGTGGAAATAGGAGGGTAAGCAGACGCAGGGCCAGGACTTCAGGACAGCCTGGCTGCTCTGTCACCAGCCCAGGCCAGCTTTCCTTGCCTCTTCTCTCTTGCCCCATCACATGGTACCAGCGAGATGCTTCCTCACCCATTTCTTAGCAAAGTTCCTTAAGCAAAGACTTAGGTTGCTTTCCTTCCAGCACCAACCAGCTGGGAAGAGGCGCCTGTGGGGTCAGGAAGTGCTTGATCCTGGAGGAGGATCCTGGAGCTACTCAGGCCACCGTGGAAAGCATAGCCACATGGGTCCCAGTGGCTCAGGAGGGGCAGACCCTGGGAGTGGGAGGGCCAGGCAGGTCAGGGAATGTCAGGAGTACCCAGTGTGCAGCCCAGTGTCACCTTGCAGGGCCCTGCAACCAGAAGAGGGATGAAGTAATTTTCTTTCCTGGCCTATCTCTGACCTGCTTATGGGCTCCACATTCGAGCCATTTCCCTGACTTAGCCAGCTTATAGGGAGCCATGGAGCTCATGGTCATTGGGACTGGCCTTTACCACATTGGGCACTGTGGGGCTTGCTTGTCTATCTGGAAACTCCAGGGGTATTTTCTAGTTAAAGATGCTGGAGATGTACCAGAGCCACCGGGATCTATCAGCACGCCTCTGGAGGCCTGGGCTTCTGGGAGCTCTGCTCCTGGTGCAACTGAGTCAGGATGAATCCCGGGCCCTGGTGAGAGCTAACAAGTTTCCTTTCTCTTCTTCCAGGTGTGTAAGGGATGAAACCTACGAAACCTACTACTCGCCATCACCCCACATCGCCCGCTTCAAATTCAGTTCCTTCCACTTCCTGAACCGCTACCCCATAGTGTACCTGCAGTGTAAACTGGTGGTGTGCAGAGCGAACGACTACTCTTCGCGCTGCTACAGAGGCTGCGTGGTGAGATCCAAGAGGAATGTGGGCTCCTACCAGGAAAAAGTGGATGTCGTCCTGGGACCCATAGAGCTGCAGCTCCCTACCAAAAAGAACCAGCCACCCTCAGACTCCACTTCCAACTAGCGCCCAAGGCCGTGACTTCCCAGGACTTGGGAAGCTTCTGCCGGTTCCCACTCAAATTGAGCACCTATTATGTGCCAGGCACTGTGCTATGCCTGGCCACACAGAGTAGAATTAGACCTGGTTGCTATCTTCTCTCCAGGGCTTTAGGTCTCTGGGGCCCATGTGTAGGGCTTGGGCAGAGTTCTGGCCTGGAAACAGACAGACCTGGCCCCTGTCTCCTCTGGGTCTGAACTGCCAGAACGCACACTTCTCATCTGTAAGGTGAAAATGCTAGCACTTGTCTCTTAGGATTGTTGAGAGGGTTCAATAAAGTAATGTTAATCAAACTGCCTTGGCCCCTGCTTGGTGGGAGTCGCTGAGTGCTGGGTGAACAGTAGTTTTTGTGACGATCACACTGTTACCCGGAGGAACAGCGTTAGTGACAATCTCATTCCTCCTGATGATAATGATGTCACACTGGGCGTGTTGAAATCAGGTCTGGGCAGCTGTGGAGACACAGCAGCAGCAGGGCTTTGTAGGGACTGCTGGCAGGGTGTGGCACTGCGCAAGCCGGATCCTGTTCCCCCCTAGAGCAGGGAGTACAGTCTCTGCCCTGCTGTTTGGTCAGGGGGCTGGATGAAGCAGGGCTCGCTGCGGGCTTCTCAGGATGTCTTCCCAGATTTGCTGGCCATGGTGACAGGGGCAGGAGTGGGGCAGCAGTGGCCACGAATCCCCTTCACCATCAGGGTGCCCACCTCTTCCTGCCCTGGGTGAAGCCCATCCCCGTGGCCCGCTGGTTCTAGACTCTTTCCTTACTTATTCATTCAGTGCCTTTATCTACTGAAGGCCTACTGTGTGCCAGGAGGCAAGAAAATAAACAGATAAAGATTAAAATGTTACACTCCAGTGGGGCAAGACGCCATCACCTGATGGGGTCGGAGCTTCGGAGATGAGCGGGGCAGGAGGGGCCGGGCCAGGCCAGCTCTCCTCTTACTCGACTCCAGCAGTCACCGCAGTGGGGCAAGGTGCCTCTTGCCTGGGACTCTTGCAACCATTCCGAAAGTACCCCACCAGCTCCCCTTCGGTCTTGTTCTCCCGAAGCCCAGCTCTCGGTTCCTACCCCAAACCCCTTCCCGACTCCGTGGCTGACAAGACTAGGCGAATAAATCTCTCAGCCTGAACTCCACGGCCACCTGGGGCTGGCCTCGGCTTCCCCTTGGCAACTTCCCTGATTTCTCTGCCCTTCCCACAGAACAGCTCTAGGGGGTCACCGCCCGGCCTTGCCTGCCCTCTCGGGGTCCTCTGGGCTCCGTCCAGGCCCCCACTCTCCCCAGACCTGGCAGAGGCGGATGTAGAGAAGCCGGCCACTCCCGGGGCGCTGTCACAGCACGGCAGTCCTCGCGGGGGTCGCCCTAACTAAGGTGCTGGCTGTGGCAGGTGGCGCTGGGGAGGATGAAGTGACCTCAGAGCCACCCTTGGAGCACTAGGACGCAAGCCAGAGCTCGCTCAGACGAGGGCCCGTGACCTCAGGCACCCAGAGAGGCTGCAAGGAATGAGGTGCCCAGCTTGGCGCCCAGCAGCATTCTGAGCCCGGGGGCAGGGTGAGGTGGCAGTGAAGAAAGGCAGGAGCCAGGGCTTTCCCAGATCCTCAGGCTCAGGCTGGGCAGAATGTCACAGAAGAACGGTGCCAATGGCTACACCTACGTGCCGCTGTGAGCCAAAACCTAGCGGCAGCAGAACCCTCTCTAGATAGAAACCCTTGTCTGGTCTTTCACTAATCAGCTCCTTGGACGACAGTACAAGTCTCGACTTCCCGCACGATAGGGCAAACTGAACAAAATATCCCTTTGAAAGCAAGTGAGTGTCTGCTTGGTCAGAGTTTCCAGAGGCTCACCTGCATACTGGACCTCTCGACTGGACCCTGTCAGCAGGAACAGCAAAGGGCTTCCAGAACCCTCCGGGGAATGGATAGGGTGTGCTCCCCAGGTGGCCTGTTTGGGATCTGTCCAGAGCAAGATATGAAGGATGAAGACCAGAAAAAGACAAGAATGCTGCCACACCGTGATTCTTTGTGCTTGTGACTTAAAGTTAAACATGATTGCTCCATTCCTCCAGGAGACTGCATCTCTCTGTTTGTGACGTTGTGTCCACACTGTGGGCTAGAGAGGGTTGGGGAGTAGGCATGCAAACCCCGAGGGCCCCTAGGAGAGGAGTCTTGCTTGCACAACATCTCCAGGGAGAATGGGGTTGACAGGTGACCCCAGAGGCTCAGAAGAGATGGGTGGGTTCCAAGGAGGCAGTGAATCTTCTGGAAAGCAGAAGAGAAAGCAGACCCCAGGCCCTTAGCTCGACTCCATAGGAATGGAATGTTTGTGTACTGTGCTGGCATCCACCCCTGGACCAGGCTCAGGACCCCTCCCCAAAGGGGGAGCTTCTAGGACAAGCCTAACTCTGTACTGTGA